CATAATGTATATTATAAAGTCAATAACGCTGTGCAAGTATATATTTAAGGAGTATCTGTGTTCATGATATGAACTGTATTAAGCAATTTCAGTTACATAAAAAATATACGGAATAAATTCTCCGTGTGGTGACTGGGTAAGAATTGAAAGTGTGATAATTTTTTTTTAACAAAACACAGTACAAAAATGAAAAGAAAAAACACTTGAAATAGAAGCCTGGTTAGTAACCATAAGAATCAGAAAGACGATACGGTTTAGCAATGTCTAGCTCCAAGTGAAAATTTAAACAGACAAAACATTGCCGACAGAGCTAAATTTAGTTAGGGGCTTTATTTAAGCCATGGCAAAGTCAAAGTCCATAAATATTTATTAATATAGAACATGTCGGCCTCTTATGCAAGTCATACTTTTTATCATACCCATATCTTACCATCCAGTTTTAGTCTTGTGGGTCTTACACAAAACAATTCGTACTTTTAAACAGTATATTCAGTAGGGTTTAGTGGTCAAGTCCCTTCTGGTGGTTCCTTTGAAAGCGATTGCAGCTTTTATTTTTTGTCGTTCCTACTAAATATGTATGTGTTAGAGTTAAAGATCTTCAAAATTAAACTTCGGCTGTGCTCAAGCATTTATCTTGCCGAACACTAACCACTTCGTTCACATATCAAAATCAGCTCCCCCACTCAGAAGGTTCCTTTTTTTTTGGACTACTCTAATGCTGTTGGCCTTTACAGTTTCCCCCGATAAGGGGTGAGTGCAGATGGCACTCCAAACTCGCGGAAGAACTTATGGACCGGCTGAAGGACAACTCCCGCCTAACGGATACTGACTGTTCGAACCTCGGCTCAGGCCGTCGTAATTTCGATCCCTGTTTCAATTTGACGGGGGATTGATCGGAAGGGGGACATGGTGGCGTTCTGTTTAGACATTCATTGAGTCGTTAAATAACTTATTTAGTTTAATAACAGAAATTAATTTACAATGCTTATAAAGTTTATAAATAGCTACATTTAAATAAGAAATATGAAAACATACAATTCATTCTAAATACAGTTTCTACAAATAAACTATAAAAAGTTATTTTACAGCACTTATTGCAAAAGTCAAATGCATACAATATAGATCATATAAGATACTCAATTACTATAATCTATAATCATCCATACTCACAAACTTTCGAAACAAGGATAAATCAGCATATATGTTATAATTTAAAAAGAACTTTCATAGCACACATTTATAATATTAAAAAGATACTATGTACATTGGGCGAAATATCAAGTAACTGTGATACAGATGAAATTGTTCAACGAATCTAGTTCTATATAAAAAACCTAACAGATATTTTTGGACGCGGCGAGTTTCTAAAAGTACGCAGTTTGATTGATCACGTATGGAATGGGGACTCAATTGTTGATGTATGTTGTCCATCAACCGAGTTGCTTCTGTATCCGTCAATCATAACATGTAAATAAATATGTTTGTACCCAAGTTTGTTGTAATCTATACATATATGGCGGACGGCCTCGGTGGTCTAGCGGTTTAGCACACTGCTTTACGTCCGATGGTCGCGGGTTCGAATCCTCGCACGGTATAAACATTTGTATTAGTTGTATCGAACTGGGTATTTTTATTTACAAAAAAAGTATTTGTGTATTTATATCAGTAGTAAAGTACCATTACACAAGCTCAACTTAACTTGGAACTAGATGACAAATTATCCAGGATTATTTATTTATATTTATGTAATATGTTTGTACCCAAACGCTGTCTGTACATTCATATATTAGAAAAACTATTATTAGCGGACTTTATAACCGTAATAAAACCCAAAATAATGTTTATGAGAATACTTTTCTGTTTATCTGTGCGTTTGTGCGCGTTATTCTCAGAAACGGTTTAACAAATTTTGGCGCGGTGTTCACTACTATGTATATTGTGAGAAGCTTTATATAGTATTTAGTATTTATTCAAATTACAAAAAAAAGTTGTAAACTATTGTTAATTTAAACACTACGGACACAAAGTCGCCGGCTCAGCTAGTCTTTATTTAGACCTTTTATCATGCAAATCACACAAAAGCTTGTTATTTTTACATGTACATTTATGGAAGCATTAAAGGTGCCTTAGTAATTTGTTCTGAAAGCTTTTCTCCACATAACAATGTCTACTTATGTAGCTAAATGTTTAAAAAAATTTAAATAATGATATTAAGTTCATAAACTGGGGGACTAAAAGCATTCTAATATGGACGTCACTACCGATTTAAAAAGATATCCAAAGCCATAAAATGATTGGAACAAAAAAAAACATTGCACACAAAAAAACTGACCACAAACTTAAAGTACGTATGAAGCAGACAACGCCAGGTGATAATTCAGTTTCGTATATCATTGCCACAACATTATAAGGGACAGTGTCCGGGAATTTGAGTGATGTTAGCAATGCTACAGATAAATGAGTTAAGTCCATTTTCACAGGAGAACGCGTTATTGGATTTTTATATTGATACGATGAGTTTTACTTGTGTTGGTGTCATACAAAAAATAGAAAAGATTGAAGTCCATATTTTATAGAACAACTTTGATATTGCGAGTAATAAGTGTGTGTAAACAAAAATTGCCAAATATATGTCAGTGCATAACTGCAGAAAAGCTGTACATAGTCGGATTTGGTAACATTTTTTTTTGTATTTTTCAGTATAAGGTAAAAAAAAAGTAAAAAAATAAGGTAATAAAATAGTACAGAATCTCTCGAATATTAATTGGGATAAAATCCGTATAATAAAGAAAATTCACGATTTCTCAAAATAATGAAATGGAAAATCTAAAAATACGGAATAATAAAATCGACCCAAAAAATTAAGAATATTTACAGACTTTACTCGCCTATCTAATCTATTAACGAACAGCCTAAAAAAATATGCTATAAATTTATAATTGATTACCTAAATTCGCGATCTCTTGCAACTGTATGAGGATTTTTGAGAAATTATGGGAAAATGGGAACCGTAGTTGCTTCCTTAGATTTTTGGAAAATGTATCATTATTCCTTGATACATTCGCGATACATTGGGCAGGGTGATAACGATTTCCAGATTAGAACTCATGACCTTTGTGGTCTAAACTTCGCATAGATACTGGACGATAAGGCTTTCAAGAAGAGGTGATATATGAAGAAAAATTTAACAAAATATACGCTTGTAGACACAGACGACTAGCCCTTTGCCTTTCTGGATGTGATAAATTCTACAAAAAACAAATGAGGATGTTTTCTTAACAGACAGCGCCATAGTTTCCTTTCTCAATCGAGATAACGCCGGCCGTCCATGTAAATATTTAAATGTATATTATATGTAGACGTAAAATAACCATATCAAGTGAAATGTTTTTTTTTAAACAATATAAATGTTGTAAGATCTCTCTCTTTGCATATCTAGTAGAATATTCAACTTCTATAACATTTTGGGTAGTGCTTGGTTTAGAAACCTACTTAATGGCATATTAGCCTGCTTTATGTTCTTTGTGGTCCCCTCCTCTTCCCCGCCCGCTCACGTATGACGTACATTACAGTAGGCTCCGAACAATAGATACAGAAACTGTTTATAAAACATGATAAAATAGAAAAGTACACGTGTTCTTGTAATATTTGTTACGGTGATGCAAAAAAAGATAGAGAAGTATAAATTGATTGTGAATTATTTGTAGACGGTAGTTTGTTTTAGTTACTACCTAAACATATATAAAAAGAAGAATAAATATAATAAATCGCTGTCTGCACAACTTTATGATACAATATAATTATATTAAGTAAGTTTTTGAATAAAAAAGTATGTAGTACATAAAGAAGCATTTAAGTATATTCTATATTAGATACGACGAATATACATATATAATGTAACATAAAACAGCTGTATCAATCATTTAATTAATTCAACATCAAAAGATACCATATAAAAGCGAGCTGTTAAAGCAATAAGAATCATGACGTCAACGTGAAGCAAAACGTGTACAAAAATAACAGTGTTAATTGCACTAATTGTGGTATTTAATAACAATTTTGTTTGAAAAATAAAATAGACTGACCAACTAAAAATAGACGCGATGAAAAAATAATGCCGTCAACTGTACAAGACATAAGGGTCCTCGAAGACCTTGAGCTAGTGGATTATGTAGTCGGGTTAAGGCACGAAATCGCGTGACATCATAATTAAACAATGGCCTTACTTACCTTGCGGCGTTGCGGGGCGAACACGCTCGGAGGAGTGACAGGAAAGGCTCTCTTTGGGCGCCAATATTCAGGTGAAAGTTTGCGCAAACATTTGCTATTGTATGGATTTTCTCAATAATTGAGTATTTAAACTTTTTTAGGTACTTTTAAAGACACCTTATACTTCTGATCATTATTTGGAAAATCGTTTTAATTCTATTAATTGTCTGGAAATCGCTAAAGTATTTTTCTATTTACACATGTATCTATTACCATTTGCATTCACTATATGCATATTTATAACTATTACGTTATTATTATGTACTAGTGATATGAACTTCTATACTAATTATACATTATAATTATTAAGACTTAATCGCTTATTAACGCTATTTGTAAGACTTCTAGAATGCAAAATAAAACCTACATGGTAAACTCTTAAAATCACTTTAAGAAAGCAATTGACGAGAATAACGTTCGTATCGAATACTTAGACGTGAAATACAACCAAATCTTGTTAATGTAAACAAATACTCGATGTCAGTATATAATTATAATGTTTTAAATGAAGGAAACGCAAGGATATACAACAACTATTTCTAAAATAGAGAAGTATAAATACCTGTAGAATAATGCCATGTGTCATGTAAATTACACACTAAAACAATTACAAGAAAAACGTAAGAGACAACAATTTTAAGTAGTACACTCGACGCAAACGTTTGACCAAATGCTGGCCGTAAGTTAGGGCGGGCGGCGACGCGCCCTCACTCGTCCGCCGCACTCCGGGGTTGCGGCTCGCGTGTACCACTCTCAAGTAAAAGTTGAAACTTTGACGCGCGAACTAAGTGCGGTGTTATGTCATACAACTTATATGTGATATTGACACGAATTAACCGTTAAACTGATAATAAGTCAATTCGCGTTAATAAGTGTGTATACGGAAAATTTTGGCCTTAATATTATAGCTTCGAACGATGTTTTAAGGTAAATAATTGTAATTAATATTACAGTTAAGTTTTATGAGTATAAAAAATGAGTTGTAATCAATTAAAAATATGGAACGAAATTTAAAATTAATATTTGACTATATCTTAATCAACATTTAGAACAAACGATTGTCATTATTGAATCTACTTTTAAACTAAAATATACTCGTAGTAAATTATTATACATATATTTCATATCAGAATTTTCAACCATATTATTTAACATTGATATTGAAATGAACAGGAAAAAAAATTTGAAAAATAGTTGAAAATATTCTCTTCAAGCAATCGTAAAGTTTCTTTACTTCAGTAAATTATCTAGAACAAAATGTAAACCTACATTTATACATAACTAACTAATAAGTATTTGAAGATAGAAAGTACCTACTTACAACAGTTTACGCATGCACTTTATGTTGTTGTAGTGGTTTGGGCTATTTTCAGTTACTTTAGACCTGTAGCAATGCGACCTTGACTTGAACTCGTCCTTATATTATGCATAATTAGTAAATAATATTTATTTTGTAATTATCAAATAAATAATATAATAACAACACAATAACAATATAACTGTAATATTAAACAATTATATTGTATTCCAATTTAAAGAAAAAGTGAAATTTCTGAATTCATGATACAATCGAAGGCATGAAACCTTCGTTCCTAGGAATAGCGATGAATAAATAAAATAATTTCGTGATGTGTGGTGCAGTTTATGTGTACGGGTGTCGGTTGTCACTTTCTATAAGTAGAACGTTGAACGAGTTGGAATATGATGGAGTTATAAAAAAACAAGCTGTGCCCACGGTTTCATCCACATTAAATTCCAATAAAAAATATAGCCCATATATGTTATTCTGATGCATAAGTTATATTTCTGTAAAGTTTTATCAAAATACGTTTTGTAGTTTTTGCGTGAAAGCGTAACAAACATATCTACTTTTACTTTTATAATATTAGCACAGATAACATAATATTACATAATATTAGTAAGGATAATGGTAAAATCCTTTAAACTACTAACTTTAGTAAAATGTATGCGAGAAAAACTTACGTATTAATAGTGTTTTAAATATAATAATTAATTGCGACAAAAAAAAAAGTTTTAATAGAGAAATGAATAGAGCACGGTATTTACATATAGTATCAGACATCTACACATATAAGTGAACAATTCCAACAAACTGGCTTTAGAAATTACTTAAGTTTCTTGTCGGTACTTCCCAATTGAATCTGTAAACTGATCTGGACGATAGTGAAAAAAAATATGAATACAAAAACTTGACGTTCATGAACGGCTAAAATGTCCTTCATGAATAAATAATTTTTGATTTCACTTACTCTATATTAATTACTAGCTTTTGCTCGCGGCTTCGCTTGCGTTAATTTATCCCTTTAGGGGTTGAATTTATCAAAATCCTTTCTTAGCCTACGTCATAGTAGCTTTATGCAAGCAAAGTCTCAGCCCGATTGGTTTAAAATTGAAGTTTCATACAAACTTCTATAGGGGATAGGGGACTATTTTATTCCCTTGGGGGTAGAATTAATCAAAACTCTTTCTTAGCGGATACCTACGTCATAACATCTACCTGCATGCCAAATTTCAGCCCGATCCGTCCAGTGGTTTGGGCTGTGCGTTGATAGATCACTATGTCAGTCACCTTTGAGTTATATATATTCAGATTATCTATCTACTTATTCAACAGTTCAGTTCAGCGTTCTTAGTTAAAAGTTTAAAACAAATAGTGGAACCGTAATTATTGCAATGCAAGCAATAGACAGTAATATATTCAAACAACTATAATGTAACTGCATACAGCTCGACTTAAACGTCATTCGAATATGCAACTTTTAGTTGAACGACTCGCTTGTAGAAACAGTGAACGAAAAATACAACATTTGCTTTGTTCATTTCATATGTAATAATGTGAAATACATTTACAAATTATCAGAATAAAAATAATAAAAAAATTTGTACAACTGTTAATTTTTTTGATGGCCTCGGTAGTTTAGTTGTTAAGCACATCGCTTTATTTCCGATGGTCGCATGGTCCAAACATATTTTTATTCATGAGTGCGATTGTTTGTATCGGTTTGGGTATTTTCCGTGTATATTATATATGTATTTACAGAAAAAAAGTATTTATATCAGTTGTCTAGTACCCATAATCCCTCTGCTTACTGTGGGATAGAGTTAGATGATGGTGCTGTGTTAATTGTCCAGGTTATTTAATTTATTTAATTATAAAGGTCGAAAAGAAAACGGTTTTTCATTCGCTTCTCCCTGCGTCTCCGTCCACGTGATATACATTAAACAGGATAAAAAATAGTCCTTCACGATCCTAAATGCCATGGAAATGCCAAGGTATATTTATGATAATTAGTAAAGCCGTGAAAGCTGTTAAATATGACATTTCAAATTTTATGGCAATTTCATAGATTAATTTCAGTATTTACATAATTTATTCATACTTAGTTTTATATATAATTAAACTAGCTGTGCCCGCGGTTTCACCTACGTGAAATTTATAGCCGACATATTCTGATGTAGTAATATAGTATATGGCTATATTACTGGAAAGTTTCATCAAAATACGTTTAGTAGTTTTACGTGAAAGAGTAACAAATATCCCTCTATACTCACAAACTTTCGCGAATATTAATAACATGACTTTGGTATTTAAATCGGTGGTGTTCAAATGCGTTTGCTTATATGTTTAGCTGGAGTATTTACTATGATACATACGTATATGTCATCTACATAAATAAGGAAAATTAAAATGTATATTTGTACTTTGACATTAACAGCTCTTCACTAAATGCATGTGATTATATACGTTGAAAACGTAAAAAAAAATATAAAATGAATTGTCTGTCTGTTTTTTCTTGCTAACCTCTGAAACGGTGTATAAATAGTTCCATATTTTGAGGGGACTTTCACCCGCAGATAGCTATTCTTATAAGAAATAACTTAAACTGCTTTTATTTAAAATATATATATATATGTTAAATTCCACGCGTACAAAGTCACTGGTAACAAAACTGGTTAGAAAATTATAAAAATACAATGTTAGATGAGATGCCTTTTTTATTGGCAAAATATATAATTTCATGATTTATTCCTTCCATAAACCTAAACAAAATACAATTATGTCAATTTTCAAAACAATGGTTCAATAATTCATAAAGTTGATGGCGGCTGCAGTATAAACGATCTATATGGACCATCTCTAATCGAGTTATATACTTTGGAATCACAAAGCAGTTCTCCAACGTCTTAGACGACACTTGCTTATTGTGAATTCGTTCAAAGTTCTCCGGAGGCAGCTGGAATTTGTTAGCGTCCATTTAATTAGAATTATTGTTGTTCTTTCCAATGAAACCGAGAAACTTTACGTAGTTAGATCACGCGCCATTCAACATCGAAACGCTCAATTCGTTTTCAGGAACAAAACGCTTCTCGAATTTAATCACACTAAGCGACTTTTCTATTTGTTACAATAACAATTTTGAATATTTCACATAATTGGTACAAAAATCAAATTCAATCACATTATCTTTATAGCTATATCTTTATAGCTCTATTATAAATACTTATATCGATAATATCGAAATGATCAAAAATAGCGATCCCGATTGTAAAAAAATTAAATACTTATTTACAGGAGATTAGTGAATCTGGGTATCGTTTTTGATTGCCAACTCCCTTTTGAGAGCCATATATTGAATCTTGTAAAGAACTGTTTTTATAGACTAAAAGGTTTACATAAAATAAGAAATTGTGTAAGTGAAAAAACGCGCATCACTCTATGCGAATCATTTACTTACTGTACAAGACTCGTCGAATGATTCAACGTGTACAGAATCCATGCTGTCTATTCTGATTTGATATTCCTCCGCGTGTACTACTACACATGTATCTCCATTCATAAATAGGGCTTCAATGCTAAATAAGGAATCACGTCGAAAACTGCACCTTGCAATGCTTATTTTCGACTTTATAAAGCTGAAAAGCCCAGAGTATCTTTACCAAAAGTTAAGGTTGCCCACGTACGACGACCAATATGGGGATGGTACACCTAGAACTCTAAGGCCACCGTTGGCAGCGCATTCGCATAAAACAATGGCATTTAGAGGTTGTTTCCGCTGTCAAGCGACCAAATGTTGGAATAATATACCCCCTCCAATTAGAAGTATTCCCTCGAGATTTACTTTCAAGCAAAAATTAAAAGATTTGTTGTTGGAGGAACAAAAGTCAGCTTGATATCAAGATGAATTGTCTTTATAATTGTTATACATATAATATACATATATATATATATATATTTTTTCTTCATTCTCCCCAATATTTGTGATTAGTTGTTTTGGTTGCTTGATAGTATTAACACTCAACACTTAACACTCCTATGCAATAAGTTTATTTTCTCTTTTGTTTTTCAAATTTATGTTATTATATGAATTGATAATAATTTTCTATGTATTTTATGTCTATATGTTATACCTATATCTCATTTTATTATAGTTTTTTTTTATTATTATTACTATTTATGATAATATAATAGGGCTGATTAGAAACTGTGGTCTTTTAAATGCGTCCTCGCGTATGTCTCTGGGCAGTGCCTGAATCAGTGGTTTGCTGCTTGTATGCAGTAAACAATACACTGAGGTGCTGCCTTTTTGCGTATGGGCTATGCACACACACTACGTTACTCATACCGTTTTTTTTGTTGTTAACTGTATTGCATTTTATTTTATCTGTATATTTGTTATGTATTGTATTGTGTTCGACTTGGCTAATGTAATGGTATATCTATTTTTATTTTTGTTCTTATTATACAGTGCTTTGTGTGTGTGAATAAAAAATGTTATCTATCTATATTCTAAGACAATTGTCCCATACGTCCTTTGAACTGTAGTTTGAGCCAGAAGAACTGCAAAGGAATTGCATCCTTACAGTTCTTACATGACATCATACGTTATTATAAGCTATACTAATATAATAAAGAGCTAAAGTTTCTGCGTTTCGATGTTCGTAGTAATCTCCGATACTACTTATCGGATTGCGAAAATTCTTTTAGTGGATAGTCCATTAATAGAGGAAGTAGGCTATACAACAACGCACTAAGAGCACTAGAAGCGGTAGAAATAGTATTGCAAAAAACGGGGAAAATATGACGTAAACAAAGTTTATAACACGGGTCAGCTATTTAAATAATAATTATAAAATTAAAACTTAAGTAATCTCTGAATATAAAGTCTCCAATAAATTGTAGGCTATTTCTATTATGTTAGCTTATAAACAACAAAATGGCATCTAAATTGGTCCATTCGTCCTGCAGCTACCATGACAGACAAATACATCAAACGTGCAATTCTCTTCTTCTTGTGTCGGTAGTTAAAAACTGATGTATGAAAAATAATAATTGTTACAGATGCGCCGCATGTACTGCATGAAAGAAAAGAAGAGCTGATAGCGTCTAAATTTAATGAGAACTGGCTGAATAGAATGTTGTGAAAATACGAACAGAAAAACGAAGAAAATTTAAAAAGTTGTAAAAAAGCGCGAGTTGGTCGCGGCAGTCGCGTAGGCGGCGCCGCACGGTGCTGTTGTGGCTCGCTGGCGCTGCTGGTTGCTGGTGGGGGGCGTGGGCGCCGTCAGCGCGCAACGCAGCCCGCTCGGCTGGGCCATGGGCAGCTCGCAGCGGTTGGCGGCTGTGGCTGCTGTCTCCCACGCGAGGCACTATTACAACCATACACAACCCGCCGTCACACACGACGATACCACGTCATACACTGTTAATATATTTTTTATCAGGTTGGTAAACTATAATTACATTCACTAGCAGCCAGTATCGTATGTAATTTTAAACATATCTTGACAGATAACATTGTTTTTAGGCTGTATGGCTTCGAACGGCATCATCGTATGTAATTTTCAAACTATTTATGCAAATGATTTAGTTAGTGTAAAGGAAGTTTATGTACTTTTACTACCAACACCGATAAAATCCGAAATGTTCTTATAACATACAAATTAAATATTCACGTTATAGTTCACCTTGGCTATATTATTGCCGTTTTGCGTAGAGGAACAAAAATCCATCACTACAAACAAACTTTCGCGTTTATTTTTTTTAAAGTAATTTGAATAGCAAACAAGCTGACGGCTCACCTGTTCATAATAAAACATAAGATAACCGTCGTCTATATACATGAACAGCACTACGGACATCACGTTATCATGTGACACCCCTGATACCAAATACGTTGCTATTTCAGAGGACGAAGATGTCATGCCTCTTATTCTGTAATTTCACTGTTTAATTTGAACCGACATATAGTTTACACAGCAAGTTGTATTGCGGCTGATTTGAGATTGAGTACCAACGACTTTTTAGTATTGTAAGTCATTATAATATTAGTAGCACTTAAAACGGCAATATACTGGACGTCATCATAAATCTCATCCACATCAGTAAATCATGATTTGAAACTATAACGTGGATATAAGCCAGTCAGTAAAAGCAGAGCAGAGTGAAGCACCTCGTAACTTTTATGATGATAACAAGACATACTGACAAGAAAATGGTAAATGAAAATGTTCCAATCCGAGAAACGAGTGGTCACGCTCGTTACCGTTTTATGTACCATGAATTTTTCATTGGATATCGTAATACCTTAAAGATTTATAGCGTGGTTGAGAGATACCTAAACCATTGAAGGGGTTAGGTGAGATTAATTTACGTAAACGAAGCAGGTGCGCTTTTGGGATTTCTGTAAAATATATGTTCGAATTTAATATTTATTCAAAAGAATGTAATTTATCGCAAAATAATTATCGCATACAAAAACATACAATAGTAACGATCGAACAACGTCACAATATATTGTCAAAACAGTGTACAAACTGCCATAAGGCCGACGAAGTGCACTCGAGTAGTTAAAGTGATATACACACCCTGTAAAATGACTTTGTAGTCGCGTTTAATACTGAAGAAACAAACATTTCTGTATCATTGTTGTTTTAATGAAAACACCGACAATTAACGCTACCAGACTAAATTGTATTAATTTATATTTTTAACACGCTATTTTGTTGTTCAGAAATGGTGTAATTAATTGTTTCTAAAACATACTTTACTTAATATGACAGAAATACGTAGGCTTTAGTAGAAAAAAAAGAAAGGAAATTATAGCGGCATGACTATAAATATTGGTAGAATGATTTTGTGTTGCTTACTTATTAATCGCTGTTTTGCTAAATAACCTATTAAAATTTTATTGTAGTTATTTTCTTTGTCTTCTGAATTGAGTATTACAATTAAGTTTACACTTACATTCAAATGTAAAATCAATCGTAAAAATCGATAAATTTTGATTTACATTTTGAGGTAATATCATACAAATTCTGTAACGATTAAAGTTGGTTCATTTCGTGGTAAAAATCTTCATTATGTACAATCGAGAGTAATTAAATCAAGCTGCCAGGATTCTTTGACAGTAATTATTTCTGAATCTCTGTCATATTATATCCGTTTAAGTTGTCCCTCAGGTAATGATGACCTTTATAATGGGAGTAGGAATTATAGATTACATTAAAGTGAAACTTTATTCAGACTTATATTAAACCTGCCTCTTGAGATAATTACCGGGCGGATTTTAATAAAGCTTAGTACCTAATATTCGGGATGAACAACTAAATTGACAGATCATTTTTTTTATTTCATCATAAAATCTTAGTTGTTATCTATACATCTAAATAAAAGTGGAGTGACCGTTTGTAATATTGAAATAACAGTTTTTTACTACATGCATATGAATATAAATACAGTACATACACCAAAATAAAATTTTTTACAATTTTTCTTGAAATGGTTGGACCGATTTTGATGGGACTTTTTTGGCAGGTAGCTGATGTAAACTACTAAAAGGAGTAACTTAGACTATTTTTATTTTAGAAAAATAAAGTTAAATTCCACGCGGACGAAGTCGCGTGTACAACTAGTAGCAACTAGGCCTTATTGGTGAATCAACTTAAAGACGTTTTGCATCTGTAGTGGTGTACGGTCAGTATATTAATAAATACACAACTAATTTATAAATGTTTTTCTTATTTTTATGTTTATTATTCCAAATATTAAATGTAATATCTAATCGTGAATTTGTTAAACTCCAGTAAATTACAGTAATCAAAATAATAAAGTCATCACCAATAAAATAATGAAATAAAATGGCGTAACATTTCCAACGTTACTTGATGTGATAGTGTGATGCACGTGTAGCACAAACTGATTTATTCCGTTTTTAGTTAGTGGTCTAGTGGTTTAGCACACCTTCGCATAGTATTATCATTTGTATGCATGAATATGATTTCTATGTATGTATTTACATAAAAAAATCTATGTATTTATATAACTTATTTAGTACCCATAACACAAGCTATGCTTAAACTAAATGACGCTGTTTGAATTGTCCAAGAATATTATATTATTATTGCTACAAATTCAAATACGTCTAAGTTGATTTGCTTGTATTTATCTATGCAGATACATTAATATGGTATGGCAATATGGTCGTTGTTACTCAAGATGTTCCTACCGCTGTATGATATATAAAATATCTGTATTCTCTACGGAACTGAGTCAGTCTACGACACAATTACGACTGTCAGGAGCTTCCATTCCAGAGCCTCTCGTCGCCATGGGATTTACGTGTCTCTAGTTCAGATTGAATTTGAGCATCGTCGTTTGTCCATTACTAATTCGGCATGTAAGATGGTCATTTTACCAGTGATTTCAATTCAATATTATAGTAATTTTCTAAAAAAAGTATCAAAACTACTGACTTATTTACCTAACAGTACAAATATATGATGAATAACAAAAATTAATTTTGTTACTGTTATTTTATATGTAACAAAATATATTTCTGTATACGGATGCGAAAATGTAATCGCGTGTTGGTAAAAACGCCAGTTCCAATAATATATTAAATGTAAATAGTAAATTATCAGTAGTAGCCTTACTAATGTAATAATTTAATGTATATTCATATATTTATTATTGTTCTTCTTTAAAAATTATTTTCTGATGCTATATTCGTTAGTTTTGTACCTACTTAAACAGGAACCTGTATTAAGTTAAAGTTTATGTACTAAAAGATTGATTCCTGCGACACGATCATTGAGCTTAGAGCAGCGATTGTTCTTAAATTTTTTATCTACATTTATTTAAGTAAAAGTGTACAAATAAATAAATAAAAATTAAAAATTAATATAATAAAATATTAGTCTTCTTCTAATTTTGTAGGATGGAGGGTATTATAATTTTCGTAAAAGTTTTATATTCATTTCTTAGCTTAACATAATTGTAGGTAATATATGCCGTGGACCTTTACTACTATTGTACTTTGTTTTTAATTAAAACGTTTGCAGTTTTTTATATACAGACTTCATGTTTTACTTATTTTATACAAACTGAAATAAGAATGTTATTTAATAGTGCAAGTTTTACATAACAATAAAACTTGTATTATTGAGCAGAGACGATGCACAGCATCTGTGAGAGTGCGCCCATAGTACTTCCCTTCTAATCTACCAATAGTAAGAACTTCCGGTTTTGTTTAGCGACTTCCGGTTCCGTTTAAGAACTTCCGTTTCCGTTTAGCGACTTCCGGTACTAATTATTTGCTGTCTTAGGAGGTGTGTCGACCAACGACCACCAAGCCTCATAGCAGTCTCTCACCAGGAGACCTAAATTGGATGCTGTGCATCGTCTCTGCTCAATAATACAAGTTTTATTGTTATGTAAAACTTGCACTATTATCGGCATGTGACGATGCACAGCATCTGTGAGAGACGTGTTTATAACTCCTGGTGACAGCAAATGACGCTATGTGATAACGTAATAACATATGCTATAGTATAATCAAGATAAATTATAAGTCTGACACATATAATCCGATATATTCCAATATTTATATAAATAACATCATAATAATAGAACAAAATTTAACTATTACATACTTATAAAATGCCAACTTAACACTATATATTCTATAATATTAATAATAATATACACCAGTAATCATCATAACAATCATACTTTAGACTGGTTGAAAATTACTTGAAAGATTTGCGCATGATTGAGGCCTACCAATAATTTCTTTACGGTAGTATTTTGCAAAAGTATTTTCACTACGCCAGTTACCACGGCTAAGTATATTTTCTACGGGGAAATTTTCATACCAATTTAGAGAGGCGACAGCTGAACGCACACTGCCCGGAGAGGCGCATATACCTGCATCTTTGAATATTGTTTTAACCCAGTTACCTATAACCGTTCGCGAAGCTGATCCCATAGAGCCTCTAATTTTGATAAATAGAGAATTATTGCATTCTATTGTACGTCTCTCTGAACCTAGTTCGATAACCTTCCTAAGCCAAAATATAGGACACACATTGGGGTTATTATGTTTTGATAAACGCCAACCAGACTGTTTGTATGAAGCAGTATCTGTTTTGGATCCAAATGATGGGTACAAGGTTATGTTATCGATATCGTCAGTAAAGTGGTCAGGGGATACTTTTAACAAGGTTAAGTCATGGACACGCCGTCCCGAGGCTAGCAGTAATATACAAGCTAATCTACGTGAGGCTTCAAATAGCGTTACATTTGTTGGCGGGTTATCCTGTAACCAGCAAACCAGATCGCTAGGATCCCAAATGGGGGGTTTTTCTGTTCTTGGGTTTTGAAGAGAGATAGCCTTTAGCATATGTTTAACTAAAAAATTAGAATTTAAATTTTCGTTGTTTAATGTTCTTCCAAATGTTAATACTACAGATTTATGCAACAAAATAGTTTGATATGCTAATCTCTCCTCAAGCCACAAATAAGCTAAAAACCTAGTTAGATTTACTGCATCGGGATGTTTAAAGTTTATATTATTATTCTCACAAAATCCTAACCCATCTATTCCAAGCTGGTTTGTAAGTTTTTAATGTTGAATCTCTCCAACTAGATCTCAATAGGCTTAGTTCTTCGGCTGACCAGTTACTTGTTATGTCGCCCCACCCCCAATTCTCCAAACATACAATGTCATGTCTTGAACTCTCGGTGGAGGGAGGCCGGTGCTCTGATCTATAAGCACTTGAGATAAGTTGGTGATTTTCATGGGTCTGCTCAATGCTCGTCGACGAAGATCCGGCAACCAAAACGCTTTCGTCCACATTGGGGCTACGACAAGAAATACTCCTTGGGAGGTATTTAAATGATTTAGTACCCGTGGTATCAGGTTCGGTGGTGGGAAGACCCACGCCAACTGATAGTTCCATGGGCGGCTGAAAGCGTTGTGGAATAGTGCAGAGTGGTCCCGACAATCTTTTGTGACATATCTGTCTACAACTCGAGATTGTTTGGTGGCAAACAGGTCGATGTACGGCACTCCGAACTGACGAAAAACTTTTTCCAAAGCTGGCTGTTGAAGATGCCATTCGGCTGGTTGTTTCCCTCGCGACAGCCTGTCCGCAACATCGTTGAACTTGCCTGGAAGATACTCCGCTGTCAAGGTCATTTCCCATTTGTCTACAATACTCAGGAGTTGGTATGTCAAGTTGAGCAATGCTGTCGATCGTGTGCCGCCTTCTTTTCGTATGTATGAGACGACTGTACGGTTGTCGGATTGTAAAATCAGGTGACTTCCGTGTAGTTGGAATCTGAAATGTTTTACTGCTGCTATAATCGCGAACATTTCTTTGCAATTGCAGTGCCAAATCCTTTGATTGGAAGTCCACCTGCCTGACACCATTAGATCGTCCATTTGTGCTCCCCAACCGTAATCCGCAGCATCTGTGGTCAAGAAGTGTTGTACTGCCCTTGGATGTAGATCGCTGGATACCTTGCAGTCTGTTAACGTCTTTATCCACCATGTTAGCTCTTCTTGTACTAGTGCTGGGATGATCAATTGGGTCGGAGCAGATATTTTCGACAAACTCCGTGCATATAGCTGAAGCTGTCTGGAGTGCAGTCTGCCCCTGGGTATGACAAAATTTGCAAAGTTTAGGGTACCCATTATCACTTGTGCTTCCTTCAGTGTCATTGCTCCTTTGCGCATTATTTTTGTCGCGATTGCGATTATCCTCGCAGCTTTTTTCTCCGGTAAGCATTTCAGGTTGTTGTTCGTATCCCACCGTAGTCCCAGATACTCTATCACTTGTGTAGGTATCATTACTGATTTTTCGTAGTTTATCGTCCACCCCAGCTGTTCTAGAATTTTTATAGCAGCTCTCACCTGATCTTTGAGTAACAGCCGTGACTGACTTACTATAAGAAAATCGTCTAAGTAGACAATTACACGCATGCCTTGGTTCCGAAGATACTGTGCGATCCAGTTGGTTAGCGCCGCAAAATTTTTCGGGGCGCATGAAAGGCCAAAGGGTAGACAGGTCATTTGGAGTATCTGTTGACCGTAAATTAATCTGAGAAATTTTCGGTGGGTCTTGGCAATGGGTAGATGAAAGTAGGCTGATGAAAGGTCCAGCTTTACCATCCAATCGTTTTTCTGCAGGAACTGTGGTATTAGAAATTGTGAAATCAATTTGAAAGGCTTTGGTAGTATGTACTGGTTCAAGCGTTTTAGGTTGAAAATAGGTCTGTGAGTCCCATCGTTCTTCCTTGTCAAGAACATTGTTGAGAAGAAACTGGGGCCCAGATCCTGTTGGTCTGGAATTTCCAGGACACCTTGTTGCAACAGGATCTTTATCTGATCCGACATATCTGGAGACTGGGTTGTTCTGAAGCGATTTAGGGTTTTCGCCAATGGATGGACAAGTAGTGGTTTGGAGGTAAATGGTAGACGCATTCCCGAGATCATTCCGAGAAGGGCCTCCGGAGCCCGAAGCGCCTGCCACTGCCTCCGATACGCTCGAAGACAGCCTCCGTAAAACCTGGGTTGTGTGAGTTGCGAGTCATTTATCGAATTTCTTTTTGCCGGGTAGGCTGTCCTTTCGATGATAGACTTTCTTCGATCTTTTCTGCTCTGGACGATAGGTAAAGTTTTTGTTCTTCCTTGAATTTGATGCGTGCTCTTGATTACGAAAGGACTGACTAGCCTCACGTGACGGACCAGGTTTACTATGCTTATAACAAGGTTTAGTATTTGGTTTATGGAGCTCTTTTCCCGAGTCAAACCATGGTCGAACCCATTTATCCATCCCACCTGTGTTTGCAATGTAAGCATGCAGGTGAGTTTCATTAAAAAGGTACGCAGAACTTGGAGGTATCTTACGGAGACCCTCACGTAAGTTCTTGTTTGGCAGCTCACCCAGGATACGCTCCCGGCGAGTTTCGATACATTCTGCCCGCTTACCGCAAACTATTTGCATAATTTCTTCGCTTACTTTATGAAATTTAGAATTAGGTTGAAATAATTCTGAAATTTTATCAAAAATATTTCCAGCAGACAGAGTTGTATCAGGGGCTGCCGCCCAGTCAACCAGTTGTTGCAGGCTTTGATTCAATAGATCACGCTGTGTCAACAATCCATTACAAATAGCAGCTACAATTTTTTCGGATTTAGCTGAATAGTCTTTGCCTTTTTGGAATTGTCTCAGTTCATCATTTATATCCAACTCAACAAAACCAGGGGTGGCACAATGTATTTTCAAGGCGTCAGTATATCGAACCTCTTTCCAAGATGGATCACCGAATTTTTGCAGCAATTCTAACCGCTTTAAGTGCTCGGGGTCCGCCCGGGGTACTTTAGGGTCTTTAGAGGTTGTATTAACTTGGCCAAGATTTAACAACCGCGTTTCATTTGGTACAGCAGCCGTTGGGCGCCGTAAAGAAAAATCGGAGGACACCATTGTGGTGGGTCTCGATGGTGGGTCACGGATAGTGTCCGTGGACGCCGCGGCCGGTGCGTTAATCGCCACTGTATGTGCCGCTGTACAATTGCTAGGCATATTCTGAATTTCTTCCGTTTGAAAAGACGGTAGACATGAATTTTGCAATAAAATATTTGTCAATGCATTAACTCTGTACATAAGATTCTGTATATCAAAATCTGACTCACCTTGTCTTTTTCTTTTTACCTGGTGGTCTGAGGAATCCGATGAAGCGGAAGCAGAGTCGCTACTGCAGGTATGTCGGCGCCGGGTACCGCCACTGCCGGATGCCGGAGCTGAGGCCGGGCTCGATGCGCGGTGTAGCGGAGCTTCTTCGTTATTCACTTCACTATTACTCATGATCACACTTTAGATTTAAGTATTAAACTAATTATAAATTTTGCAACTATTTCGTTAGCAAACTAAGATAAAATTAGATGTTCACTGTTCGGGAAGTAACGACGCTATGAGGCTTGGTGGTCGTTGGTCGACACACCTCCTAAGACAGCAAATAATTAGTACCGGAAGTCGCTAAACGGAAACGGAAGTTCTTAAACGGAACCGGAAGTCGCTAAACAAAACCGGAAGTTCTTACTATTGGTAGATTAGAAGGGAAGTACTATGGGCGCACTCTCACAGATGCTGTGCATCGTCACATGCCGATAATAAGAAAATTTTCTCAGTTTTAGTTTTACAAAATATATTTAAAATAGATGCAAGATAGTTTAATTTACCAAATTCTATTAAGTGAATGTTACGTGAACATTATAAATTCAAAATTAATAATGATCAAGAAAGTAGTAACTTTATGGTATAATACATTTATATAAAGTTTATTTATATAAGGTTTACTCAAATAATACTTCTTATTATAATCCAATAGTTCGAATGTGTCGCCAATACAATGAAATTCTTGTCTCGAATAGAAATATAGATATTTTCCATACAACGCTGGTCCAGTTCCGGAGACAATTAAATTTCCACCGTAAAGAGACAAATTATATTTAACATTGTACCAATTTTCTTTTCTTTAATATAAATAAAATTCTGTTAACATGATAATTCATTGCATTACGTAGTTATATATCATTTTCTATTTAGTTTACTTTTTATTATATAACCTTATCTAATTATCTAGCGTATATTGAATGCGTCTATATAATTTAGCTCTTAGGCATACATAGTGTTGGATTACAATCCAGTTCTGTACCGAACTACACGCTCCTATTATATTATTATATTGACTGTAATCTGTTTTGTATGCTAATAAATAAATAAATAAATAAATAAATAAAATATAAAGAAGCATAATAATAACTATAATACATTTACATAAAGAAGCATAAAAATATAAACAAAGCGACTGTCATGTAATATAATAAGGCACAAAATGAAGTTGGAGAGTTCTTTCTAAAGGCACTCTGTTTGAAATTAAAGAAAAGCGGACGAAAATGATACGTTAATGACTCTCCACTTTGACACGTCGAATACGAAGGGAAACTTCTTTTGACGATCATTAGTAGCTACGATTATATTGTCTTATGATATTATTACGTACGGTCATTTGTGTTTTTAATTAAAATGAATTTTTTAACTAACTGCCAAAGGGAGACGCTGCTTTCTTTGATCGGGTGTTCTTTTTTATCTTCCGCCAAAACTATGATCTTTGTGGTTATTTTTAAACTTTCGTATTTAATATATATTATTTATACTGTTAACCGGTTCTTAACAAACAATTTTATGGTAAATAAAAGTTTAGACTAGGTTGCACTAGCCGTGGTCACGAGCTGTGGTCTTTTTGCTGTCAACAACCTTTACTTTTATGTAGATTCTATAATAATTTTATTCTATCATTCGTAGAACAAAATATAATTTGAATAAATTATCAAGTTAAAAGTATCATATTAAGATACATTTAGGCATAGGAAATAACAGGATTTCTCAGCTATACACTGAGCTGATATATTGAAACAACAGAAAAAGTCCTGTAAAGTTCGATAAACGCGAAATCTTTGACTAGTGGACTAACCGAATCGAACTCGAAATAAACCTTAACAAGTTCGTGACAAAAACGTGACCAAACAATGTTTAGTGAATATGCCCGAATTTATTTTGTGTATTGATATATATATATATTATTAAGCTGCTAAGCTTGTGACGTGTTCGAGTTATATTGATTCCGTAAAATGAGCATTGACATTTAGCAGTTTAGTCCCGCTCGGCTGGAAGCGGGGTCGTGTGCTGTTGACATATTCGACTAATTGGACAAGTTTATCGTGTATTTAATGAACACTTACGTTCTATATTACGTGTATTTCTCTTTATTGCACCAGATACAGAAAAATTCTAAAATAATATATTTAAACTGATACATACAAAAGGCAGGGTGGCGCACGTAACGAATATAAACAAATATATTATATATTATATTGAGTAGAGGAAAACTCGAACGTCATATACAGATTCAGATAATTGTACTAGAATAAGATATCATTACTAAATAAATATTTTATTTTATTTGGGATACAAACAGTTTCACAATGTAGTATGTATATTAAGTACATAGATATGAATTAATAATAGTAAAACCAATACAGATATCCACGGGTTAATACTTATGTTATGTTACTCTTATTATTATATACATTATTTATTTACTGGTTTCTACTTAATATGTCTAATAGGGTTTTCTTAAATTTAAAGTATGACAAATCAAATATATCTAAATCAGGAAATTTGGTTTTAAATATATCAACAATATGGTGAAGAGGCGCTCGTGCACCGGCGTACGTCCGATAGGTTGGGGTGAAGAATACACGGCGTACCCTTACCGAACGACGGTGCACACTGGTTGGTACCACGTAGCACAGCTTATTAGTTAACTCAGTACAATCAAATGTATTTGCACAAATTTTATACAGGGTCATAGTATTAAGCAAAATTCGTCTACGTTCCAAACACAGCATCCTGTATTTGTCTAATAGTTGTGTGTAATATATACATATTATTACATAGTATAAAATACTATATATCGCTGTCGCTGTCTGTCTGTCCCTATGTATTGCTTAAATCTTTAAAACTACGCAACGGATTTTGAAACGGTTTGTTTAGTAGATAGAGGAAGGTTTATATATATAATACATGTACACCCGGACGAAGCCAGGGCGAGTAGCTAGTATTTAATATAAATAACATACCCTACATTACAATCAATAAATTGTACAATTTATACAAACAAAAATACTTGGTAGTTGATGACGACAAAGTAACTATCAAGTTTACCAGAGGTGTCTGTGTACATAGAAAAAGACTAAGAAAGCGGGTAGACAGATTTATCTGCTTATAATAATTGTTCACATCCACTGCCATCTATAGTCGCCCCTTAACTTATTTTTTTCGACGCTGTTATAAATATAAGATATTTATAACAGCGTCGAAAAAAATTAAGCTTAATATAAGAATTAATATCGGGAGCTCATAAATAATATTATCATAGTAAATATCCCATTTATAACGTGTATAATTGTAAACAACAATGAAAAGTGTTTACATAAATTAATAAATTGTTGTACCACAGTAAAGTATTAGATTCGATGACTGCACATATTTGCGACTGAAAATTGGAAGTTTAACTTTAATTCATTGACGCAGAAACGCGATCACAGTGTAACAAAATCTAGAAACTTTCAGAGTTTTCTTTCGTTAATCGCATCGAAGAGGTATATAAATATTAATTTAGACAGCGTCGAACAGATTGCGGCATGTAAATTTCAATCTCGCCGCTAAATGTCGTTATTATCTCGGCCTGATAAGCTTAATACGAGTACTAGCTATACTATACTTATAGGATAGTTAATTAAGCCATCGACTGGAGCTGATCACGTTAAATTATCGCGCTCTGTAATCTCCGCGCCTGTTTCAATTAATTACTATCGCGGTTCGCCGTTGAAAAATTAGATTTAACATCTTTCATGATAGATGTATCACAAACGTGTTTGTTGTCATTTTTCAGTATTGTCGAGTAGGGAAGACCTTAATTTTATTAAATCCGTAATTAAGTGGATTATTATTGAAAATAACAACATAATTGAGAATTTAAAGGGATATTAACAAAACAAACACCGTTACAACTATTGTTCTAGGTGGAGTAATCAGAGGCATTGTCAACTGTCGACGTTATGGTGAATGCAATAGTTGACATGCCACATTTCGCTCAGTATATTGTACAGAGCAAAATTTAAATCTAGTATTATACAAATACTAAAAACGACAACCATTTCTTATGTAATTTTCTTCCATTTGTACTTTCAATAATTAACTAATATATATAATTTTATATACATATTATACAAACCCATTATCATAAAATGGTGTTAACAGAACACCTGTACATTATGATATCAACTTATCGCAGTAAGATTACAAGTTACGATTAACCTCGGCTCGTAAAGTCTACAAACGATTTAAGAGATAATACTGGTATATTATAAAACAGGCGGTAGCAATACCTACTATGTTCGTAATATGTAGTTTAATATATCCATATAAATATATTAGACAATATAATATGTATTCCATTACATTATTTTTATTCATATATTTTTCTTGTTATTGATGGCAAAGATTTAATTTAAAAAGTCGTAATTGTAAAACTAGAAAAATACATAATTTTTTTTTTAAATTCTTCGACCAATTTAAAGCAACATTATAAGCGAATAATATGAGCTGTATTTTAGAGAATAAAACTAATCCCTACTAAATAAACGAAGCCTGAGTATGTCAGTAGTATAATTACAAAGACCCATGTTTTTTATGTTACTATTAATGTTGTTATAGTGCCACATTGTGCGGAGTACTGGTGGCTGTATGCGCCGGTTGCTGGCGACGGTCGCCATCACGAGACAAGCCGGAGGACGGGGTGGAGTGCCGTGGGGTATACACCGTTAGCACGGACAGTAGGCTTACTCAGGTATGTAACTCCTGTTCAATTGTTTATTATACTTTAATTAATGCCTTTGAACACTTAAAATACTAGGGATGTAATGTACGTGTCGCCAACCCTTAAGAAACCTTAAGAGTAACCCCCATACTGTAGTCTCGCGAGACAACTTCGACAGGGAGCACATTCCACAATCTAAGTGTGCGCTCCTCTGAAACCGCACTGTCCGGGACCACTTAAGTTCCAGTGTGTGGGGAGGAATTTCCTATCGATGGCGATCGGTGCGTTGGCGCCAAACAGAATTTCCGTATTCTAGTCTGAAGAGCTATATATGATGAGTGAAATTACAGGCTATAGGGGCATGATATTTTATTCCCCTGGAATGGTAACGCACGATTGCATTAATTGTAATCTAATGTCCGTGCTGCTATTCATATATATGAGTTCAGCTAGTTCAATTACTTTACGATGTTATTTGTACCACAAACAAAAATAAGATCAAAGTACTGCGTATCTCTTTCTCGATAAATTATATTTATGATATCAACCACCATCTCTTATCATCACTCATCAAATACGGCAGCAACAGTAGGTATTTGAAGTGACATTACACTCGCGTGACGAGATATTAAAAACTTATTTTTTTCATAAATAGCTACCACTCATTATTTATTATTATTAATAAGTGGGTCTTAACATGACTAATTTTATGGCATATAAAGGTATTTATTTACCTTTCGCACCTAATCGAAATGTCAAGAGAGGGAAATACCTTTATTTGCCATAAAACTAATCGTGTACAGACCCGGTTAATAATCTAAATAATGTATATTATGCAACCATTCTATATCAGGTAAGTATGGCCTTAAAAATATACTGCACACTATAATCTCGATTCGACTTTGTAAGTTGTAACAGACGAATACATGGTTGCCGACACTTAACTGGGCACTTCGCGAATGTTTCCCGGTTAGATTGAGCGATCAACGACCACATAAAAGCTAACGGCGTGCAGCATGTTCATGACATTTCGCCTATTTTTGAAGCACCTAGCCTTTATCGATTTATTTTTAAAAGTACTCGGTAACGCTTTGTTTATTTAAGAAAAATATGGTATGTTTTTATGTAATAGTACATAATTTCAAACCTGATAGAATGAAGAGAGAGGCCTATAGAAATCTTCATGCGTGTATCTTGAGGACTAAGGTCCTCTGGTTCATTATTGTGAATTCACTGTATCGTATCTCACTTTATTATTTAAATTTTATTATTTTTATTAAACGAAGAAAACAAGAAAAGCCGAGATATCGCGTACCTTTTATATATTTCTTTTGAAGATGTAGATTTTGTAAAAAATACGTCTGTACTCGCATAGGTACCTCAGTCTCTGCTATCTCAGCCACCGAACTTACAAGGCAAGCTACCTAGTAAGCCGTGTTTCGGTTGAAATGTGAGATAAGACAATGAAAGTATAGGATAAGAGGCATGACATTTTAGTCCTTCTGAAATAGCATAATAATGTGGTGCCCGTAGTGATTTTATTGTATACTAGCTGTACCCGCGACTTCGTCCGCGTGGAATTCCAGTTTATTTTTCTAAAATAAAAGTAGCCTAAGCTACTCTTTATTACATCAGCTACCTGCCAATTAAAGTCCCGTCAAAATCGGTCTAGCCATTTCAGAGATTAGCCAGAAGAAAGAAAAAAAATGTAAAAAATGTTATTTTGGTTACGTACCGTATTTATATGCATATGAATGTAGTAAAAAAATGGTTAATTCAATATTAAAAACAGACACTCCAATTTCATTTATATGGGTAGATAGACGATGCTTACTATCATATAGGCCGTTAGCTTGTTTTCCATTCCAATTACATAAAAATAAAAACAAATAAAGTTGCATAAAAAAATCTAACTAAAATACATAGGTTTAGTCTGTTCTGAATGCAATAGAAATACCAGGAATTCATAACTTGGGTGTAATTCATTGGAGAGTCTATTTTGCATACACGTGCGATCGAATACCGCGTAAGCATAGTCAGCGAAGCAATGCATTCAAACATCTCGTACTTACTGACAGCACTCGAGTGACTCAAGTGTACTCAGAAATCTATAGATATAGTAATACACGGATGAAATGTGAGCGAAAATTGATGTGAAACAGTGAAACTAACATTGTATATTAAAAAATAGTTCGCGTATATTCAATATTTTTATATTATGCTGGAATTCTAGATCAGAAGGTTGCGTATGTGTCTACATTTTATCTGATGATTACGATCCCAGACGGATTTTATTATGTCATAAATATTTATCAATTCTTTTTTGTATGTATTACCTTTTTTTTATTGTAGAGTCACCTATTTTTTGGAAATAAAATGTAAATGTTATTTAGTCAAAATTATACATGATTTAGTTATAAAAAGATATATAGATAATAATTTATTGCCAACCTGCGTCGTCTTCGCACGTATAGAAATTGTAAAGATTCTACTCTTTATATAACTAAAGAAGGTTCTTATGCAATTAATATTTCATAAAACAAAATAAAATAGAAACGTATTTATCTTGAATAAAGCTCACTAAATAAAGCCAATAAAGACATAAAAAAAGAGTATTAAAATAAGATTTATATTATAAAAATAATATCGCCAGAAACACAAAAAAAAATTGTTTTTTTGTGTTTCTGGCGATAACATATTATTACTTGATATAATATATAGCCCGTAATATTTGCTAATCATGCTTTCTACAGGTGTATGCATTTTTAAAAACCGTTAAATTTTTTTTAGATTATCATTTTTTTTCCATTTCATAATTTAAAGGTTTAAAGGTCACAATTGAAGATGTATATCTAGTCAGTTACCATGAAACAGTTAAAGTACCGTTGTATATACAGCCGGCTAATGCGTTTAGTTCGACGCGGGCGTCCGCCGTGGAATTGTTGTTCCGCTTCCGGATCCGCCGCCATCGCTACGTCAATAGGGCAACTCAACGGTAACCGGTGATAAACTAAAAGCGTACCACATTCTGAAGTGCCTTTTATTGTGTCATAAAGTGACCCTTATTTAACAAGATATTAGTAATACATCTAAAGCAATACACCTGTGAAATCTGACAAAAATTCTGTAAAATGTTTAATACTGTATAATATAGTCAGAGCATTGTTTTATTTACTGCACTAGTATAACGTACATTTCGTAGAGAAAATTATTTGATATTCATATTCAATTTTCATTGAACTCTTTCCCGGAAGTCTTTTTAAACTGACAACGAAAACATACAGTATAGCTTTAGAAAGCGGGTTGCTCTAGGGTGCGCGATAAACATCATGGAATAATTTGTAAACCCACATACACCGCAAGCATACAACTCGATTGTGCACTGAACGGAAATCACTTGGGAATCGAATTAGAATCGAGCGTCTCCAATCGATAGGGGGTATCGAGATATCGAGTTTTTTGCGGCTCCTGTTAACATCGCTTGCATTTATGTCGTTACCAATAATGGCGGAATCTTGTTTACAAGCCTTCAGTTTTGCATGAAAGTCGTTAACAGGAAACGTTTTTTCGTTATTTACATTCATATGATCATATATACTTCCTATTTGAATATACTCTCCATGTATTAGTGACTTGGAAAAGGCAAGTAAACACTTGGCAACTTATCACAAAAAAAATCATTGAAATTACAGGATAAGAGACATGACATTTCAGTCCTCTAGAATGATAATGTACGAGTCGTATCACAAGTGTCACATGATAACGTGATGTCCGTAGTTCTAGCAAGGTATGTTCATAGTCGACGGTTACCGCTTACTAACAGGTGGGCCGTCAGCTAGGTTGCTATTTCTATTCATTCATAATTTAAGAGCCACCATCTTGTACGTGGAGCTATTGCCACTTTTCTCGATCTTGCTTCATGCTTTTTCAATTAATACAAAAAATCAATCGATGCATATATTTATAGAGCATAAGGAGGTAAAGTGTATACTATGTGATGATGTACGATATCATCAATCCGTATACCAAATTTTATTCGAATTTAAACTTGTTTTTGCATAAATGAGTAATTCGCGTTATTAACAAAATATTAACAGAACTAGTTGATGTGCTCGACTTCGTCTGCGTAGTATTTAGTACTTCATAATTATTGATTCTCCAAATCAACTTGCATTCTTTATTTCACATCTTTTGATACAAAAATTTTCGGCTGTCCTTTGCCAAGGCCCTATCTATCAGTATACTAAAGTTCAATAGTTTAGGTATAAGAACGTAATAATTAAAGTGAGTTATTTTAGCATTACATTAGTACGGATGGATCACCTAATTATTTGTAGTTAATTAATACCACAGTTTCGAATAAATTATTTAAACCAAATAAAAAGTACAAATAATTAGATTTATGGTAAGGCTGGTCACTAGTGGGCTGATGGCGTGCGTGCACTTGACTACGGGGCGTTGTTACCTTGTAATATAATCCGCTGATTTGGAACCTGATGGCAACGCCATTACATTTTCTGTTCGACGTGACGTGACCGTCCTAGAATGGTGCGAGCACCATAATTACTTTTATTGATTAAAAAATATAAGTTCCTTTAGTGTATATACTTGTTAAAAATACAATAAGAGTGAAATAAGAGGAGAAAAGGCTAGTATCCCGTACCGCAAATAGGAAATCCGAACGCCTTTATCATATTCATTTTAAAATAGGAACGTTATTAATAATTTTTAAAACCCGAACAGCATTAGTGTTATTGATTAGAGTGTAGTTTCATATTTTTTTTTCAAAAATTGAATATACTCCTATATGACAAGCTGAGGACCTCATGAATTCGAGTATCAGTATTGTATAAAGCTAGTACAGGATCTGTGTATATTTCATTAGAATCTGTTTAGTAGTTTTTGCTTGACATAGTAACAGTTATTTATTTGTTCTCACTAACACTCGCATTTCTTATATTAGTGTGATTTTTTGAAGTACATAATCATACGGGAACCTCCGATTATGAACTAAAACGTTAATGTATCTA